TTGCTGGATCACAGATAGTTCTATTTTTAACTTCTTGAGGTATCACCATACTATTTTCTATAGTGGCTGTACCAATGTACATTCCCACCAACAGTGTACAAGGGTCCCTTTTTCTCCACATTCTCACCAGCATTTGCCATCTCATGTTAGTTTAAAAAATTTTTTTCAATCCTCACTTGAGGACATGCTTAGAGGAAAAGAGAGAGAGAGAGAGAGAGAGAGAGAGAAGAAGAAGAAGAAGAAGAAGAAGAAGAAGGAGAAGAAGAAGAAGAAGAAGAAGAGAGAGAAAGAGAAACATCGATGTGAGAAACATCGATTGGTTGTCCTCTGTATTTGCCCTGACTGAGGATTGAACCTGCAACCCAGGTATGTGTCCTGACCAGGAATTGAACCTGCAACCTTTTGGAGCACAGGATGGTGATCAATCAACTGGGCGACTCCAGCCAGGCTTGTGTCTTTTTTATAATGGTCCCTGTAACAGGAATGAGATGATATCTCATTGTGGTTCTGAGTTGCATTTCCATGGTGCTTAGTGATTGTTTTTTGCTATAGAGTTGTATGAGTTTCTTATTTGTATTGGATACTAATCTCTTATTGGATATGTGGTTTGCTAATATTCTCTCCCATTGAGGTTTTATGTTGTTTTGTTTTTTTTAAAATTTTGTTGATGATTTCCTTTACTGTGCAGAAGCTTTTTAATTTGGTGTAGTTCCACTTGTTTATTTTTGCTTTTTAAAAAAATATATATTTTATTGATTTCAGAGAGGAAGGAAGGAAGAGTGAAATAGAAACATCAGTGATGAAAGAGAATCATTGATTGGCTGTCTCTTGCACACCTCACACTGGGGATCGAGCCCATGACCCAGGCATGTGCCCTGACCAGGAATCAAACTGTGACCTCCTGGTTCATAGGTTGACACGCTCAACCACTGAGCCATGCTGGGTTATTTTTGCTTTTATTATCGGATCCAAAAAAATTGCAGTCAAGGCAGATGTCAAGGAGCTTGCCCCTATGTTTTCTTCAAGGAGTTGTATGCTTTCAGGTCTTGTGTTCAAGTCTTCAATCCATTTTGAGTTGATTGTGCATATGGTGTAAAATAGGGATCCAGTTTCATTCTTTTGAATGTGGTTATCTAGTTTTCCCAACACCATTTATTGAAGAGACTATCCTTTTCCCATTGTATAGTCTTATCTCCTTTGTTGAAACTTATATATGCACTAGAGGCCCGATGCACGAAATTCGTGCAGAAGTAGGCCTTCCTTCCCCCGGCTGCCAGCACCCGATTCCCTCTGGCACCCGGGACCCGGGCTTCCCTCGCAGCTAGCTTCGTCCAGAAGGACATCTGGTTTAATTAGCATATTACACTTTATTATTATAGATGGGCTCTCTAGTCTGTTCCATTGGCCTATGTGTCAGTCTTTATGCTGATACCATAATGTTTGGTTACTACAGCTCTGTACTACAGTTTGAAAGCAGGAAGCATGATGTCTCCAGCTTTGTTCTTCTTTCTCAAGATTGCTTTGGCTATTTGAGGGTCTTTTGTGGTTTCATACAAATTTTAGGATTTTTTTCTATTTCTATGAGAAATGCCATTGGAATTTTGATAAGGATTGCATGAAATCTGTAGATTACTTTGGGTAGTATGGATATTTTAACAATATTAATTATTCAGGTCCATGAACACAAAATATTTTCCATTCATTTGTGTCTTCTTCAATTTCTTTCATTAAAGTCTTGTAGTTTCAGTGTACAGATCTTTCACCTCCAGGGTTAAATTTATTTGAATTCTATTCTTTTTGATGCTCTCATAGTGTTTTTAGTTGGAATTTTGAAATCTGGCAAAGAGAGAGACCACCTTCATGGGTCATTTCACCTGAAACCATCACACAGTTCCTCCATCTGAGAATGTTCTCCCTAGAATTACCAACTTAATTTGATCTAAAGAGCAAGCTCCACTCAAACCTGACCTACTTACACCAAACTCTCACTTGCAAACACTCGCTGCTGGAGGAAAAACAGTGTGAAGACTCCTTAGCCCTCAGCCGTGAGGAATCCTGGGTTACTCTGGCAATGAGGCAGAAAACTGCAAAGAGCTTGACCAGCAAAGCAGAAAAAAGGCCAAAGAAAGCCCAACCTAATTCGTATAATAAACAACACTATTTGACCTTATACAGCGAAATAGTTATAAACTTAAGATCTCTACAAAAATTCATGAGTATATAATCTTTCTAAAATCAAGTGCTCTGCATTGTGAAACATCAGCTACTAATTAAAATTGGAAAGTCTCAAACTGATGAGGTCACATCCATACAGCATTTATAAACAGCCTTTGTGGTGTATGTCTTCCTTGAACCTGTGATTTGTGTGGTTCCGACTCTTGCTTTCATGATTCTGACATATTACAGGGCTATGCTCTGCTTTTGTTTCATCATCACCCTTTTACTTTTTTTTATATCAATTACATTTTATTTTTTAACATATATCTCAATCAGATCATTCAGATCATGCTTTAATATAAAGTGTTTTATCATCATCATCATCACTCCTTTTAAAATAGGTGCCTGGAATACACTTTTAATAAGACAGGACTTGAAAAACAAAAAGTGGTAACTAGGGGACTAAGGTGCTTTGACAGTAAGCCTCGTTTTAATGCATGAAAACAAACCAGCTTTGCCTGGAGTCGGAGCGCAGGGCCAGGCCGTGGGGAAAGCCGAGCTCCAGTGGGAAACATGTCAGGTTCAGAGCTCGGCAGGAAGTGGGACTGGTGCTTGGCGGATACCGTCATCAAGATAGGTACTGGTTTGGATTAGGACCTGTCTTCTCACTTACCTTCTTTAAAAGAAGAATGTGGCCACTAGCCTTTGGTTCTGGCATGGGGTTGGGAATGGCCTACTCCAGCTGTCAGCATGATTTCCAGGCTCCATATCTTCTACGTGGAAAATACGTGAAAGAGCAGAAGCAGTGAGTTACACCTGAGAACATCTCAGTGGGAGGAGAAGCGAAGTCATGTTTATCCCTCAGGATACTGAAGTGCCCTGCAGCAAGCTGACATTCTTCTGTAACAATGTTATCAGCAGTGCTTTAAACTCCAGCACACTGCTCATGTATTTGAAACCAAGTCTGTTTCTTGTTTTGTAGTTTCTCTCTGGAAATTGCAAGGAGGTGGTCTTAAAAGAAATAAATTAAACAAAAACAGGCAAAACAACAACAACAACAAAGCCCAAAAAACAAAAAAACAGCTAACTGAAAATTGAAGTATAAGTGGCATTTTATATTTTAAGTTTTTTAATATATTTAACAATTACTTTACCCAGAACCCCTGATTTGTCCACAAACACTATAGGTCCAATTAGTTGGGTTTTTTTTAAAAGCATCACTTTAATAAAGACAACTGGCTAAGAAATAAAAGAGAAAACATGCAAAATGTGTACCCCAAGCCCATTTTGGAGGATTTAGTGAACACGAGTCTCTCTTGCATACTAAGCAGGCTGGTCACGCTTTGCCCAGGATTCCTGAATAATGAGGATTTGCTCCCAAAACTTCCCTTATGGTCTTGCCATGCCCCATTCTATACGCTCAGCAGTCCTGAAACAATCCCAATCCAGCAGCATTTTGCAAGTCATTGAGAATATATTTTTTAAGTACAACCCATGCATAACACCATGATTAAGGTGGTAGTAGGAAATGAAAGCTTACCAAAACCTTACGGAAACACAATTGAGAGTCTGCATGAAATCAAGGTCACAGAAACAGTACTGCACCTCAGGATTTCTGTTAGGTACTTTAAAAAGGTATTGAACGCTAAAAGCATTTAATATGAAAAGGGAAGTTGAAGTCTTGACTTTCTTAAAAATTTCACTCTTAAAAATATTAGACAAACATGAGAAAAATGAGTTAAATTCCTCCACAGGTAAGTCATCTGTCATCCATTCAAAGTTTGTTAAACTTCATTTCTTCACCAAGAACCGCGTGATGTCGGATCCATGCTTTGCCGCCAGAGACTGTCTCCTCACCTGGCTTCTTTCCTTGGCTTGCCTGGCAGTTCTCTAAAAGTTAAAAACATGAATGTGTTCACATGCGGGGAGAAAAGTACTGGCTACAGAAACTCAAACACTCTCTGTATTCTGTTAGTCGGGAAATAGCTACATGACTGCCACACCCACTCCCAGTGCTTTGCCATTAGGGGCATCACCAAACCACAAGCAGCGAACCCAGCAGCTCTGCTGAGTGCCGAGGTCCCGGGTTCACTTAGGACCAGGAGCTGAGGAGAAAACACAGAGTTTGGGGGGATGCTGCCCAGGGAGGTCCGTGCATCCCTCCCTTGGGGTCTCGGGGAGGAGGCCATGATTCCCCTCGTCCAAGTGGGAGTGTTAGGCCATCTTGGGATTTCCCAGAGTGCAGTGTGCACAAGGCCTGCCCTTTCCTCTTCTCTGGAATTCCCAACCCAGCAGCCAAACCAACACGGAAAACAAAATGGGATAGGCAGGAAATGGATTCTTCTGCCAGTCCTGCAAATAGGACTTTTCACGAGAACCTGAAAAAGCGACCACAGAAGGGGCAGCATTTTGCTATATCTTAATTCTCTTATTAGTCTTAAATATGCCACTAATCTGCACAGCGGAGAAATCGGACGACTTTTCCCCCAGACTGGAGTCCATGCACGAGTGAAGTGACCCAGGTGGAAGGGTGAGGAAAGCAGAGAGGGTTCAAATGAAGAACAAACGGAACAATCCCCATTTGTGTAAAAGTTATGTTTGTGAAGAGAGGAATCTAAAATATTAAAAGGCTAAGAAAATGCTCACATAATATGAACATTGTCAAAGGATCGGAACAGATCTCAAAACTGTAAATACAATTGATTAGCATTTAAAAACCATCAGGGTCTTTAGTAAACAAACTTGGGCAGGCCACTTCCCCCACCACACGGGCACAACCCATGCAGTCAGATGGGCACTCTCTTCCCTGATGGGCTGGGGGAAAACAACTTGGAGATAAAAACATCAGCCTCAAAAATACACGTGACTCAGTGATATTTTAGATCTGAGAATCCTGCTTAAGGAATGACCTCAAAACATTAAACAAAAAAAAAGTGTGTGGCAACAATATGTATAAGAACAAAAAAGAATGTAAGTAACTTCAATGTGCATTCGCATAGGAAGGGCTAAATACACTACAGTAGAGGTCTATTCAACAGAATCATGTGCAGCCACTTTAGACAATAACATTATGAATGCTTATCATGGGAATGTGGGAAAATGCTTAAATCTGCCAAAGGGGAAAAATAAGTCAGATGCAAAGTTGCGTATTGAGTAAGTGTTTCTTTCGAAGATTATCTCAACAGGTAGGCCTGACTTCCTTTTGCTGACTGCCCGTTAAAAATTCATCCTAGTTGATAAACAAATACTGTGTCATTTTCCCCCGCTCGTTTTAAGCAACAAGTCATTCATTGCTCAAAGATGTGCCGAGGTTAACAGGTTTTATACTTTGGCCAAGAGTGCAATGTTTGCATGTTGAACTGAGTTGGTCCTAGAGATAGTTTATTAACGTTCTTAGACATTTCGGGACATCCTTAGCCGCACATGCAAACATGTCACTGCCCCAATTCACTAAATGTCTAGCTGGAAGGTCTGGGTCTCTTCAAGACCATGCAAACTACACTGTATTTCTTTTCTGCTAGGCAGTGGGGAAATTTCCGGGTCCTGGGATGAATCAGAAGGCAAGCAGCTTCTCTCCCATCTGTGACTGAGACCGAGGCCTCGAGAGGAAACACAGTGTTAGGCGATGAAAGAAATAAAATGTGCCTTGGATCCCAGCCCAGGACGTAGATTCCCCAGTCCTCTCCCTGCCGGCATGCACGATGTCACGAGGCCCGGGACGGAGTGGGACGAGCGGAGGGGCACTGACCTCTCGGTGACAGACTGTGCAGAGAGTCTGCAGGTTGTCCAGGGAGCACTGTCCTCCTCCTCCGAACACCGGCCGGATGTGGTCCACCTGCCAGAAGTGCCCTTCCCCGGGGGCTCTGACCATTTCGTTAAGCTGCAACCAGAGCCCAGGATCAGCACTTTTGTACACACACTGCGGGAACTGTGGGTTTTGCATTGTGCGATCATGTTTACACAGCAGAATCAGGGAAAAATACATTAGGATGGCTCTTTATAGCCTTTTTTTGTGAATAGGAAAAAGCCTCTAGGTTAGCAATTTGAAAACAATAAAATGTTTCTGAAAAAGTTCTATTTTCCTTACCTAAACCATTTTGAGAAAAAAGTATAAGCAAGTAGAAAATACCAAGACTCCTGACAGACTGGGAAAAATTAGTTGTTTTTGCACTTTTGAGCTAGTTTACACAGTCACTAAAACAAAACAGAAAAGAATAAGAACAGATTAAGAACTTAGAACTTCTGAATATTACTACTGACTTAAAAAATCTTTAATTGTTGACCTAAATGCATTTATTACTATACCAATGACAGTTTAATATTAATAGCTATAACCTGGAACTTCTATGCTAGTCACCTGGGAGTCTGCCAGTTTACATGGACTGAAATATTTCTAGAACAACCTCTATAAGTTGCATATTTTGAATAAACAAAGATGTCCACTTAAAGCAGGGATGATTTAGGCCAGTCCACATACACACACTTAATATTTAAACAAGGATGACCTACATTCAAACGGGATGTATTTTAACATTTTACCTAAGGTAGTAAAACCAGCTCACCGCATAGCTGTGCAGTTGTTTAAATATCACAAAGATCAGTGTGAAGGGCGTTTTATTTTCTCGGTCTTGAACAAGGAAGAAGTTGTAATCAACTTCCTGCTGCCAGCCATGGGAACCTGTGTTGCAGTTCTAAAGCACTTTTAAGAAAAGCTGCAGACCCGTGTGGGCACAGGGACCCGTCAGCAGTGCCCAGCCTGAGAGGAGCCCCAAGTGGCAGCGAGTTGGAGCGGCAAGCCTTGTCCGGCTGTGGCTGGCACTGTGGGAAGCAACTACGAATAGAAGTCTGATGCATCGAGCAAATGGCGCATTCTTAGGAAAAAGATCCATTTTGGTTCTGCCTTTTGTAACCAATTCTTTTGCTCTGAACAGTCTCTACTCTGACAGACTCTATGGTCTAGATTACAGCGGTTCTCAACCTGGGGGTCGCGACTCCTTTGGCGGTCGAACGACCCTTTCACAGGGGTCGCCTAAGACCATCCTGCATATCAGATATTTACATTACGATTCATAACAGTAGCAACATTACAGTTATGAAGTAGCAACGAAAATAATTTTATGGTTGGGTCACAACATGAGGAACTGTATTTAAAGGGCCAGAAGGTTGAGAACCACTGGTCTAGAAGGTGTTTATTCTCCCTAATAATTTGCAAATCACGTGGGGACATCTTCAACATCCTAAATTCACCTGTCGAAAGAGTCACCCCCTCTCTGAGTGGTCCTCCCAGAACTGAGCCTGTGGTGCTCCCTGTCCTCTGAGCACTTTTGTTTTGGGTGTCACTGCGCTACTTCCTGGACAGGCTGCTTCCAGGATGTCCTCCAGTCCTGCCACGTGTGTCTCCTGGCAGCCTCCTCACTGAGACAGCAGACAGTAATGAGTCCGGGTGACACCCTGGGATGGGTGCAATATGTCCCTCACCAGTTGACCAAAGGATATTTCAGGAACTCAGGACACCATTTAAAAAATAGTGTATCTCCCTAGTTCTCAAAGTTATACGAATTCATCTTTGCAGAAATGCTTATTAATGAATTGTCATAATTCAGCAATAATAGGCAAATAAAAATATATGATTTGACAATATTTTAGTGGGCAGAGAGTGGCTCAGGAGTGATTTTTTAAAAAATTAAGCTCACTGCCCTGGCTGGGGTAGCTCAGTCAGTGATCAGAGCATCGGCCTGTACACTGAAGGGTTATGGATTCAATTCCCAGTCAAGGGCACGTAATTGAGTTGCAGGTTCAATCCCTGGCCCTGAAGGGCACGTGCAGGAGGCAACCAATAGATGTCTGTCTTTCACATCGATGGTTGTCTCTCTCTCTCTCTCTCTCTCTCTCTCTCTCTCTCCCTCCTTTTCACTCTCTCTAAAAATTAATGAAAAAGATAATCCTCAGTTGAGGATTAACAACAAAAAAACTCAGCTCACTATAAAATTATACATTTTGCTTTAGTTTGAAGTTTAGAACTGATTAAATCACAACATTAGAAATCCAATTGAGTTTTGGGAATCAAAGCGAATATTGATGAGTCTAAAGATAATATTTTGTCATAAATTGCTCTGCTAAAATCTGATTTTACAACAGATGAATATGTTTCTTTCTCATTGCAATGAACTGCATTTTATCTGTTTGCCCTTCGTCATTCAATATTAACATCATGAAAAGTAGAGCAACTGGACCATAGTTGTTGTGTGTTTGTGTTTTTTTAATTTGTTGGGGATGTGGAGAAAAAGGACACCTTGTACACTGCTGGTGGGGGTGTAAATTGGCACAGCCACTATGGAAAACAGTATGAGGTTTCCCCATAGGTGCTTCTTTTTTTTTTGGAATCGGACCTGGGATCCTTCGGTCTATGGGCTGACACTCTATCCACTGAGCCAAACCGGCGAGGGTCCTCATAGGTGTTTCTTGATGCAATGTATCATCTGTTAAGATCTCTTCCCCAAATAATTTAACAAGAATCTAATTAAGCCTCTATATCTTATAACCATTATTCTGGAAATCAGGGGAGTAGAGAACCATGTCAGATAATACCATGAGAATACAGGGAGGCACATCCAGAATGTGGGAAATCCTATAGGCAAATGATCCAGTGTCCTCAGCAATCTATGGTGTAAAAAAAAGAATGGGGCAATACAGAGTAAAGAGACCATAAGAGGCATGACTAAATGCCATGTGTCATACTTCAAAGGGCCATACTTTGATCTAATCTGAACAAGGCATTTTCAGATTGTCTGAAAAGATATTTTTGAGACAATCTAGGTGGGAAACCAAACACAGACTTATTATAATCAAGAAATTACCATTGTTTTGGGTGTGATAATGGCTATTGGGGGTATGGCATTAAATTTCTAAGACAGACAGAAAAAAAAGAGGGAGGGAAAGAGGATGGGAAAGAAGGAAGTCTTTATCTATGAGGGATACATAACGAAAATATTTAAGGATGAAATGAAGTGTTGTCTGGAATTTGCTTTAAAATAATTCCAGGAGAAAAAAAGAATTGAGGTAAGGGACAGATGAAAATTAAGGCAAAAATGTCGATAACTGTTAAAGTTGGGTGATGGGTTATGGGTTCATCATTCTCTCTACTTTTGTGTGTGTATTTAAGATTTCCCATATAAAAAGTTAAAAGGAGAGCGAGGCAGAATCTCAGTACGCTGCTGCCTTCTGTCTGCCACACAATTATAACTTACCTGATCTAGAGGGAGCTTTGAGGTCCAGGTAACATCCAGAAGACTCTTCCGCTGACTTTTAGGAGCGTCTCTCAGACGTAAAAAGAGCTCTTGTGCGTTCAGATTACACAGCTGACACACACCATGTTCAATTTCAAATACTTTGGCTCGCAGGTAACTGTTATTAGAACGAATCCAAAACTCCTCCTGACAGTTCTGAGAGCAAAACCGTGAGTCCCAAGCGTTTGCTTTGCACTCTTGCTTAGTTTGGCCCGTGGGCTGCTGACAGCGGAGGCAAAGTGGATTTCCTTCATTATCCACAGCTTGCAGGTAGCCTTTGGACGCAGGAGGCTTCACAGTGAGACCAGCTTGCGCTAGGCAGGGAGTCAGAGATGGGACAGAGGCTCCATCTTCAAGACACTCCCTAGAATTGAACAGAACATAGCTAATTAATACACTAGTCTAAATAAGCCTAACTTCACATAATGGTCTTCAGGATTTCTATGCTGATAAACAGTAAACATAGAACCCGCAGATTCTGTGATTCTATGTGGAAATGAAACACTACAGTCAGCACTCTCAACTCGATGACAAATACAGGAAAGAATGGTGTGTTTAAAAAAGTTAATTTGAATACAAATGTGCCACATCTCTTGGGAATTTAGATATCATCAAGTTAAACAATCAGACTTGGAAACATCTGGAGAAGTTAGAAATGCTCTTCAGGTTGGGACAGGACTGGTTACTGTGAAATCCCAGCTAAAGCTCTCCAAACGGTGCACACCTCCCTGAGACACAGCCCCTTCCCAAGGCTCCCATGGACCTGTCCTCCGACTCCGCTGGCCCACGGGAAACAGTCACATCCATAAAGTGACCGAGCCAAGTAGCTAACAGTGTCCATAGGGTTAGAACCGAAGACTTGCTAAGCATATGCCTCCTACAGGTAAACTCAGAGTCTGACTGAAATAAAATTAGAAATGAAACATGGTAGGACCTGTGCTCAATTTGTTAAGATAAAAGAAAAAGGTGCGTTACACAATTGTGTTGAAAAGGCCTATGTGGGAATTACAACCGCTGTTTGCCAATGTTCTACGCTGCTTATTAGAAGCGTTAGAAGAAAACTTCTTAGGAAAGAAAGAGCTCAGTATTAGGGGGCAGAGGCCAATTTGACCTCGCTCCTAGCATCTTAGTGGCCTGGACAAGTCACTTGGTCTACCTGGTCTCAGGGTCCTCAAAATAACCTTCTTGTCTCTAATTACCAAGATGAGGCCATCATGTGCCTCACAGGGTTGCTATGAGAACTGAAGAATTACTGTATTGTGAAAGCTCTTTGGAACCTGTAAGGTGGCCACACAAGGGAAAAGCACAATTACAAAAATGAATGCAAAAATGGGAAGCAGTGGTCTCAGTGCTGCTGTGCCCGACTAGTAAACAGGCCTTACTTTGTAGAAGTGTCCTGCGGCCCAGCCTCCTTGGTGATCAGACGGACATGGCCCCCCGCATTCTTCACTTTGTCCATCGAGGCTGCAGCAACATCTTCTTTAGTTATGTACCTAAAACAATGACCTGTTAGGTAGATGTTCTCTCCCTGATAAGACATTTCCTGTTCACATCGCTCCTTGCAAAGGCAATAGGAGAGAAAAAGCGAGACCCAAGTCTATTGGTTGTGTGATGCCAAAGTTAGGGGATGACATTTTCTCCCTTTATATTGGTCACCACGTGTGGGAAACACATTTCTTTCTTCCACATTAGATTTATTTTTCAAAGAAATTCAAAAGCCATTCGGTGTTCTACGGACCCATTTTCCTTAGAGGGAAAAAGGAGTGGGCGTGGGGATGAGAAATGATGGAGCGCATGCACACTGACAGCCTTAGGTAGAGTGCAGGAAATCTCTAACAGCGGTTCCCCTCTCCTGGCCTCCTCTTCATGGTTCCACAAATCACCTTGATCAGTTGTAATGATCAGCATTTCAGGTAAAGTGGTTCTCTTTTTAGTTAAACAGGTTCAATCACATCTGCCCTAATCTCAAGGTGGTTCCCATTATTATCAGCCCATCTGGGTTTACAGAACTGCCACCGAAGTGAAGCCACTCTTGCTGTGGGATTCACGGCACCATCAATCCCACACAACGGTGTAGGGGCTGGAAATGAGGAGGAAAGTTATCCCAATTAAAGGTGATGGGGGAATGTAAGTAGGCGAAATGCAATTACCCAATTAAGTCCTTCTAATTAGCATGGCCCAGTTTCTCTGGTAGTTAACACCTATTATAGGTGTTTTTTTTTTAAATCAGTTCAAACATAAATTTCTTCATTTGTTGAGTACTTCATTTGGGAGCTTGACAAAATCAAACTTAAATCACAATGGAATAGTTCTGCAATTGTAGGTAAATTTTAGAAATGTGCTTTTATGTTGTTAAAGTAGATTTAATAATTAATAGATTTCCTTCTTCTTATAAAGTATTTTATTACTTTTCAATTAGGTGATACATACTGCACATATTTCAAAATTCAAACGACAGGCAATAGTGTATTTCCCATCCTTTTCACCTCCCCCAAAGCTATCTCTGCTGCTAGTTTTTAACAAATCCTTTTAGAAATAGTTTTTTTTTTCTGTATATAGGTTATACATTTTATTTACTTATCTCAGTATTTTTACAGACACATAACTCATAGCACTAAATTTAACATTTTAAATTTTACAATCCAGTGCATTTTGGTATAGTCACCAGATGTACGACCATCACCACTACCTGGTTCCAGAACATTGTTATCATCTCAAAAAGAAACCTGAACTCACTAGCAGACACTCCCCATTACACCCGTTCCCTTTCAAAACAAATGGTAGCATCACATACATAGTCGTCGTCACCTTGCTCTGTTTACCTAACCATACATCTCAGGATCTCTCCTCGGCACACACAGAGTTGCCCTCTGTTTTAAATGGCTGCAATATTCCATTATTTGGACAAACCATGTATCTAACCAGCCTCTGATTAATGGGCATTTCGGTTGTCCCAGCCTCTGCTGTCACAAACAACACTGTCATAAATATCACTGTACATGATATTTTCTACACATGAAATAGATATAAAATAAATTCCCAGAAGTAGAATTGCCAGGTCAAAGTCTTGGCGCTTTAAATTTGGGTAGCTTCCGACACATTGCTCTCATTTGAGTTTGTTCCAAATACAGACCCACCCGCAATGAATGAGAGTGCCTGCTTCCTCACACTTCCACTAGCACCAGGTGTGTCATTTGAAAACTTCTTGCACCAAAAGGTTGCTGGTTTGATTCCAGGTCAGGACACTTGCCTGGGTTGCAGGCTCAATCCCCAGTCCCCAGTAGGGGGAGTGCAGGAGGCAGTCGATAGATGTTTCACTCTCACATCGATGTTTCTCTCTCTCTCTCTCTCTCTCTCAAAATCAATAAAAATATTTTTAAAAATAAAAGTTCTCTGTTAATGGTGATAGGTATCTCATTATAGCTTTAAGTTTGCATTTCTCCTGTTAAGAGTAAGGGTGATTATCTTTTCATACATTTGCATTTCTACTGTGTGTCTTTCTTAAAGCAATAAAGAATTATAGTGAATTCCTTTAAAATTCTCTAATTTTAGTTTGTAAACTCCTCCCACCGCCCCCATTTCTTCAACCATTTTATTCCCTTGACAAAAACACTTCACGAAAGTATTTCAGTGGATTCTAAATGAACTAAAAAGCTTCATAGCTTTGAGGGGCGAGGGGATATTAAGTCTTGCCTTAGGTATTATTCAATGTTTAAAGGCTTAGAAACCTAATTCAGTAACTTTAAAAGATGCTGCGAAATCTATTCAGAGATTTAAGAACTAAAAATAACCTTTCCTACAAGAGTTTTTAGCACAGATTTTTGGAAACCATAGGAACAGATCAATCAATTCCAAATGGAGGGGGCAGGGGGGTAACTTTTCAAACATAGCTGTGAGTTACCAATATTTAATTTTCCACTGAGTTTGCTATGAAGTTCATGTAAGTATATCAACTCTCAAAAGGATTATGTAATTCCCACTTTTGACAAATAGGGAAGGAAGAATGTTGTCTGCTACCTACTTCCTGGATGGGGCTGCGACAGAGGATGGCAAGTTTTGTAAGAAGAGAGGAGTGAGTGTGTGTGGAAAGTGGTCCACCCCAATGAAAACCCTGCTGGCTCCAGGTTGCCCACCTGCTTTGGAGATCAGCTGTGGCTGGAGGATAACTTGTTGGCATCCTAAACTCAACAGGGTTCCACTGGACCAGGCCTGCCTCTGCCGAATGGGAACTCACTTAGGAACTGAACCAATGGCTGGTGGCCTTGGCTTCTATTCACACTGAAGAGTGAGCTGCTCAAAAGCTGACTGCAGGCCCTGAGCTGGGATGAGCCTGAAAACTGGTGGACAGCTCTGGAGGGTAATCTAATTGGGGATTTAGCCATTGTTTTGGGGGGAACTCCAAAAAAGCAGTACCTATTTGTCTTTATTCTAAGGCCATTCCATTTTTTTCAGAGATGAATCTTCTGCCTAGGGAATGAAATGTGGCCGCTGGTCATCTGGAAGTTGGTGAAGAATATGGAAACACACTGAGCCTGGTGCCAACCTTGGTTCCACTTCTCTAGAAAGTAAACTGGGAGGACAGTGGGGGAGGCACCCAGTGTCTAACCCTCCTCACACAGACTTCCACTCAGCACTGCTGCGCAGCCCTGCCCTTCACACCTGCTTCCAGAGAGACGTGGTTACTCCACTTTACTGAGACTTAGTGGGGTTCCACAGTGAGAGTCGGCATGCTTCCTCAAGGTACCGCCCTCTATGGGGACGCAGTTTCATTGTCATGCTCTGCTAAGTCAGTTTCCCTGGAGCCCTCCCTCTCTAATCAATGACCAAGGTCTTCAGAACTACCTCCTTAGCACCGCTCTTCATTTTCTCCATTCCCATTGCTAATGACTTCATAAAAAGCCCTCATCTTTTGTTCTTTCCAGGTCTACTACAATAGTCTTTTAATTTGTGTGGTAGGCAGAATTTTAAAGACATCTCCCTAGGATTCCTGTCTCCAGTATCCAATCAATAACTCATCTAGGTCAGTGGTCGGCAAACTCATTAGTCAACAGAGCCAAATATCAACAGTACAACGATTGAAATTTCTTTTGAGAGCCAAATTTTTTAAACTTAAACTATATAGGTAGGTACATTGTTATTAACTTAATTAGGGTACTCCTAAGGCTTAGGAAGAGCCACACTCGAGGGTCCAAAGAGCCACATGTGGCTCGAGAGCCGCAGTTTGCCGACCATGGATCTAGGTAATGCTGTAAAAGGACTTTGCAGATGAAATTAAATTTACTAATCAGCTGACCTTAAGATAGTAAACAATTCCAAGCACAAGGAGTTCACACAACTTTGCTGGCAGCTGAGATGTAGGGATCCTTGTGCTAGAACTAGGAAGAAGCCTCTAACAGCGGTTCTCAACCTGTGGGTCACGACCCTTTCACAGGGGTTGCCTAAGACCATCCTGCATATCAGATATTTACATTACGATTCATAACAGTAGCAACATTACAGTTATGAAGTAGCAAAGAAAATAATTTTATGGTTGGGTCACAACATGAGGAACTGTATTTAAAGGGCCAGAAGGTTGAGAACCACTGCTCTAGAAGCTAAGAGCAACCCCCAGCTGAGAGCCAGCAAGGAAACCTAAGTCCTACAACCACAAGGAACTGAATGCTGTCAACCACCTGAATGAGCAATGGATCCTTCCCAGACTATCAGTAGAGCCCAGCTGGCCCACATTTTGTTCTCAGCTTTATAAAATGCAGAGCAGAGAAACCAGCAGAGAAACTCAGGCTTCGACTTATAAAACCCCAGGATGATAAACCACTGTTGCTTTAAGCCAATGAGTTTCTGATAATTTGTCATGATAGCAACAGAAAACTAACTCAACTCATCTCTGCAACTCGAGTATCACCCTTTCAATCTAACCTTCCAACTGCTGCCAGAGTGAGCTCTTAAAAACACAAGTCCAACAGACTTACTTTGCTGCTTGTTAACACATGTGGTATCTATAAGATATCACTGCACATCCTATATAATAAAAAGGTAATATGCAAATTGACCAAATGGCAGAACAACTGGTTGCTATGCCCCGCACTGATCACCAGGGGGCAGACACTCAACACAGGAGCTGCCACCAGCCCAAAGGCCCCAATCCCTGGATCGGGGCCAATCTCTCGGTCTCTTCCCCTGCCCGGCAGGCTCCAATCACCCGATGGAGAATGGGGAACCAGGGGTGGGTGGCGACAGGGGGTGGAGCCGGCTGCCGGCAGCCTGGGAAGATGGCCCTGATCGCAGGCCAGGCCTAGGGACTGTACCTGTGCATGACTTTCATGCGCCGGGCCTCTAGTAATTTAATAAGTTACTTTGGTTTGTATCAATTTTATCAGACTTGGCTTTTAGCCTGACCAGTCATCTTTCTCAAGAGGTTCTTTAAGTGGTCATCCATGTCTGATGGAGAAGAAACTAGAAATGGCTGTGGTTAACTCTGACTGTGGTTATAAAAATGAGAAAATAGAGAGGACTAGAAGAAGTATTGAGAACAATAAAATAGGCATCATGCTTTTTGTTATATGTGTGTGCATATAAGTATGTGTAGGTGTATGTATAAACACACACATATTTTAAATGTATTTTTTATATAAAGTAATATATGCTCCTGAGAAAAATTCAGTACAGAAGACATTAAGCAAGAATCCAAAACTGGCAGCTCATAAATAAACCAACTCAGCAGAGTCATGCAGTAGTTTATTTTTAAATCTGAATTTAAATGATGTTAGATGGGTTGTGCACTTTACAATTTGCCATAGTTCCATCTCCTGCCCCATCTTTTTCTAGTTTTACACCTGACCTCATTTGTTCATTTACGATTCCTGCTTTGTTTTCGTCACTAGTTTGTGATCCTGGAGTAAAGTACAAAGTTCCTACCATCTCCACAAGTCCCCTAATCTGTGGTCTACAGCAAGATTGCTCAATGGTGGCACTCCTGACACTCTGAAACAGAAAACTCTTTGCTGGGGAGTGCAGTGCTGCTCACTGCAGGACTGTTATCAATACCCCAGGCCTCTGGCCGCTAGGTGTTTCCCTGCTGTGTCCCCTGATTTTGACAAACTAAAAGTTGTCACCCTGGGGGTAAAACTGGCCCAGCTGGAACCACTGTCCTAGAGAGAGCTCTGGGGAGATTTTCTGTGGTATCCTTCCAGACACTTTCTACATCAATAACAGCAATTACATATATTTGTGTCCCCATCCTTTTTATATACTTATTTTTACCCTTAATGAATTATCACAAGTGTCATTCCTTATTCTCCCACATGAATATACCACCTGCCATATTCTGAAACAGCTGAAGAGACTTTTCACTGTGTGGGGATATCATTTATTTAATCAACCACATCCTCTCCTAAACCACTGGTGAATTTTTTTCACCTGTGTGCACAGGAAAGGCCGGAGATCACAAAACGATGGCATGTGGGGGTGAAGGGGGCTACAGGTGTATGGAGACAGGAGGACCAGGGGGTTTTCCTGCCATGTGGCCGCTGGTGCTTTGCGATCCCTTCAGAGAAGAGAGGGCAGCGCACAGCTGCCTGCCCTTCCCGGGACCTGCTTCGTGCTGAGGAAGAATCTACAGAGAGCGGGATCACACAAGGGGACGTGAGACCTAACTGAGGCAGACTGTGCACTTTACAATTTGCCATAGTTGCATCTCCTCCCCATCTTTTTCTAGTTTTATACCTGACCTCATTTGTTCATTTACGATTCCTGTTTTGTTTTCATCACTAGTTTGTGATCCTGGAGTAAAGTACAAAGTTCCTACCATCTCCACAAGTCCCCTAATCTGTGGTCTACAGCAAGATTGCTCAATGGTGGCACTCCTGACACTCTGAAACAGAAAACTCTTTGCTGGGGAGTGCAGTGCTGCTCACTGCAGGACTGTTATCAATACCCCAGGCCTCTGGCCGCTAGGTGTTTCCCTGCTGTGTCCCCTGATTTTGACAAACTAAAAGTTGTCACCCTGGGGGTAAAACTGGCCCAGCTGGAACCACTGTCCTAGAGAGAGCTCTGGGGAGATTTTCTGAGGTATCCTTCCAGGCACTTTCTACGTCAATAACAGCAATTAAATATATTTGTGTCTCTATCCTTTTTACATACTATTTTTACCCTTAATGAATTATCACAAGTGTCACTCATTGTTCTCCCATATGAATATACCACCTGCCATATTCTGAAACAGCTGAAGAGACTTTTCACTGTGTGGGGATATCATTTATTTAATCAACCACATCCTCTCCTAAACCACTGGTGAATTTTTTTCACCTGTGTGCACAGGAAAGGCCGGAGATCACAAAACCATGGCATGGGGGTGAAGGGGGCTACAGGTATATGGAGACAGGAGGGCCACAGGGTTTTCCTGCCATGTGGCCGCTGGTGCTTTTCGACCCCTTCAGAGAAGAGAGGGCAGCGCACAGCCGCCTGCCCTTCCCGGGACCTGCTTCGTGCTAAGGAAGAATCTACAGAGAGCGGGATCACACAAGGGGACGTGAGACCTAACTGAGGCAGAGATGATTATGATGCCAAGAAAGGAAAGGACAGGTACAGAGATTATCATCTGTGATGACAGAGGCAAACAGCTGCAAACACGAGACGCCCAACCTCTCCTTTCATTTCGTTTCCAACCACAGGCGTAACCGTTACCTCCACCACCTGGGTGGTGGTGCGGCCACCAGGACCAGCCCCCCTGTGCAGCCCCCCCGACCCTCGGCCGGGATGCAGGGCAGACGGGCTCAGAGGCATGTCCTGCTGTCCTCACAGGGAAATGTCTTCCTGTGAGCCAGGGTCCCGGGCTGGGTGAGTGCGACTGATGTTGAGAAGAACGGACAACCGAATCTTGGATTTCTTTAGTGGTTACATAAATGCCTCAAACCCCCGACCCCCCCACCCACTAAGAAATAACCATGACAAGTAATAAAATACAAAACAGAAAGAGAAGGACCGCCCATACCTTTTTGTGCTGTTTTGTTTGGTCTGTTGCTTTGTGGCCTCTTCGAATGCCAGCGCTGGGCTGCAGAACAGCTGCCCGCTCCTCCTGACCACCCTCTGCTTCATGGCTGTGAGGCTGCTCCATTCACGCACAAACCGCAAAATCTGCCGGGAGATGAGAGGTGAAAACAGTGCACGCAGCGCACCGCACGCCTTCCTTTGAAGTGGGGCTACTTACAACGTCGGGCACCTGAGTTTTATATACCCCAAACAGGCTTCTTGGGGGATAGTGAAGGTTTTCTTTGGTTTGATGGTTCATCTCCTTCTCGTGAACCCCCTACGGCCAGTTCTGCAGGCGTCTCCTGATCCAGAGACTCTGCAGGCACGTTTCAGGGCACCTGGCACATGTCCCTGGCACCCAGGGACCAGCTGCAGCCATGTGCTCAGTGAGGCCGACAGAGGCCCCGGGTGGAAGCCGTGACTGAGGCAAAGGTGGTCTTGGGGACAGCAGGTGTGGCAGTCGTGACCGACAGGCACGGCAACACCTGAGAATCGCTTTGAACCCCACGACTTAAGTAATCGCAGGAAGGTAGCCATCAATAAACCTGGGCATTTTAATTAGAGTAGCATTCATCTTACTTATTGGTCAAATATATGCAGCTGGCTATCTTCTGGGAATCTGGGAATCACAATTAGATGACTCTGAAGAAAGTAAGTCAGTGCTACCTTTCCTTTTGAGACAGGTGCGGCCCCCTATGGGCAATGTTTGATTTCTACTCAAAGGGCAAAACGTAATCGCTGTTCTTGTAGAAAGCGGTACACTGCCTGCTGGGTCGGCCCTGCACACGCTGACCCTCCTTTGCAGGGAAGGGAAACGGGCCGCAGGGGCGTGGCGGGCACTGCAGGCTGGTGCTCTCACAAGTAATCTAGAGTCACCCCGCATGGTCTCAGCTCCGCTCTCAGAACCTGTCAGGTTAGAACTGAGCCCTCACAGATAAAGTGTGATCTGACAGATACCACTATCACAGCTGAAACTCCTGTGAATGAGGCATTAAATGTGAGGATGATTCAATCCGCAGGAGCAGCCACCCTGGGTGTGATCACTCACCAAGGAAACCGAGCTCACAGATATTCAGAGCAGCGGGGTAAGTTGCAGGCGCGGCCGGTGACGGGAATTCTGTGACAGGCCGCGAGTGCTCCGCTTTTATTAAACTCGAAATGGTCATTGACATTACTCAGATTTTAATTTACAACAAATTCACAGAACTGTTCTTACCAGGGAGCGATTTTGTTTCAGCTCAAAGCTTGCTGGTAAATCTTCCCAAAGGTCTAATTTTATATCCAAAGGAATGAAATTGCAGTTCATTCGGTTCCCATCCTGATTACAGATTAAGGAGGCATTGTCAGTCCATTTTGTCTGTAGCCACCAGCAATTATTTTAAAAGTAAAGAATTGTATTATGACATAATAGCCCAGTCTCCCAAGATCCCACCACCCACACAGCCCCCCAGAAAGGACGCTGAGAGGAGGAGTGAGGAAGGCTCCCTGGGGCTCTCTGAATGCCTCAGTGCATTCGTTCGCTGCTCAGGGAAAATACCACACAGAGAAGTAGTCAGCTAAACACAAGGCTGGAGCAGGAAGTACTTCTTTATAAAGGGGGAGAAAAATCTCTGCATATGAAAGTATAGCAACAAGAGTCGAATCATATTCGAACTCTCTCGGCTAAAAGAAAGCGCTCCAGCTCCCACAATTGCTTTGGGAAAAAACACAAAAAGAAATTACATGCGGATTCAAAGTTTAGATACATAATTGTTATTCTAAACTCAATCAGACTTGGGATTCTGGCTGCAAGGACAGTTCTTTAGAGTTACATGTTAATGACATCAATGGCTAAATGGCTGTCACTGCTCTTCCTTTTAAGTGGTGTCCTTTTAGGCAGCGAGCTGGTTTTTATCCAGATTCTACTTCAGCTCTTCGAAGGTCAAAAGGAAAGATCTCATCTCAACTCTGCTGTAGCTGTGAAAAGACCTGTTAGCATTCCATCTGCTTCGGGTCTCGTGTGTAGGAAATAACTGAATAATGTTTTATGGTAAAGGGGCATGTAAGTATTTAGAGTGGTCGTACAAATGCACTGGAAACTGCTAAGAGAGATGTCAAGAACAGGAGGTGGCCACGCTGCCAGGCTGGTGGCCGAGCCAGGAGGGGTGGCGAGGCTGTAGCTGCACCTGGCCCGGCAGCCGGCCCCTGTGCCTCTGCCAGGAGCTGGCAGTTTCTCCCCCGCCTCCACCCGAAGGGGAGAACCACGAATCAGATGATTCAGGAAGCACAGCGTCCACTACACAGAGTAACGAGCTAAGGGCTTCTGAATTCCTGTGTGTGCTCTGCCCGGTGTCCGACTTTTGGCTTCTTGACCCTCAAGCCCACCTGGGGTCAGTTCCCTGTTGCTCCCATGTGATGGTCAGAGAAGCGTGGCCTGGCGCTCGCTCCCGGGGGGCGAGGGTGGTTCAGGCTCAGGTCTGCCTGGGGGAGCAGAGAATCCGTGGCGCTCCTCCCGGGTCTAGGCCTGGGGTCCGGCTGTCAGAGGAGCGCTGCTGACTGCCTGGCTTTGCCCGGGGTCCCTCTCCCAGTGTGGCCCCAGGACAGAGGTTGTGGGCCAATGAGGAGGCTGCTCGGCGATTTTGTATTCACGACCCTCCCCACCTCCTGCTCTTCGATCCAGCTCTTCCAATCTTCAGCTAGAACTGGAAATTATTACACGGAGCGCCATCCGTCTATATCTATATCTGGTGTAGTAGATAACATGGCACTGAGTTTGCGCAGCTCCAACATAGTTATCTTTAAAAAGGCATTCTTCCGGTAGAATGGCCCATGAGTTTAAAAAGTTATAAATATCATTTTCTTATACAGATTAGGATTTGAAACTGCAATCCAAACAAAAGTATTCATAATGTCAGCAATTTTTCCTCAAATATTCAGACCAGTTAACCCAGGCCAAGGGTCCTCACATGGCCCCCAGCTCCTTCCCGGGGATCCACATGTCAAAGAGTTGATGTAAAAACAGTAAAACATGATTTGCCTTTTTCGTTCTCATTCTGTCACAACTGTACAGTGGCTTTCCATGCACATGCAGATCTGGGAATCCCACTGTCTTCTATTAAGACTTTAGAGAAAATTGCTACAAATGTAAATGTTCATTAAATATTATTTTTGTTTTGGAAAACACAATTGTTTTTCATGAAAATAGGCTACTGATATAAATATGTACATTTATATTATGGCTACTCTTAAAACAATAAATGAATATTTTTAGGTGTTTCCATTTTAATTTTAGATATAGTAAGTATCAATAGATATAAGCCACATAAACAAAAGCTCTTTGGGGTCCTCAATGAATTTAGGGGTACACAGAGGTCCCGGGATGAAAGTTTGAGCCCCACCAGCCTAGGCTCTGGCCAGAACCTGAGCAAACCTTCCATGACATCGCCATGGAGTCCAGTGAACAGATGGACAGGTGGAGGCTCGGTACAGACGCTGCTGTCGCTGCTGCTACAAGTGGTCAGGCAGGAGCTGGCATTTTGTGAGAGGGCACTGTGGCGGGCACTGTGCTGAGTGCTCTGCAGGAATCAGCTCCTTTGATCCTTGGACAGCTCCTCTCCACGTATCACAGCTGAGGAAACTGAGGCACGGAGCAATGAAGTGAGGTGTCCAAGACTCCAGAGCTAGTCACAGATCTGAGCTGAGGCTCTGGTGCTGCAGTCTGGGCTCCTGCCTACTATGGTGGTTGCCTCTCTGACTTACCATCGGGATCTGAGGACTAGCTTTAAGGAGAAAAGGAACTAGGTGCCAATCTCTTTGCTATTATAATTAAATATCTCATTGAAACAGGGAGAAAGGAAGCCTTTTGCATGATTCAAGCCACATGACGGGCATGATGCTTACCTTGGTGTAGAGGTGGATCCGGTCGGTGTTCCTACTTGCACGAAACATGAGGGTGCTGTACACTGGCTGAGGGTCTGCGCGCTTCGACTGTTCTAAACAAGGAGATGAAAGAGAACCTGAAGGCCCATCTACCCTCTATCCAAAATAGTTCATTCCAGTCTTCTGTGGGTTGGCTGATAAACCACTTTTACCAAGTATATCAACATCTGTGCCGGAGAGCATGGCCTGGGCCTGAACAGGACGCAGGGAGGCAGCTTGGAGCATGGCCTCCCCGGCACCAGGGGCTCTGCACTTTTACTAGTGACCCAGGAAGAAAGAAACACATTCAGAATGAGCTGAGCGTTACAAGTCAGGCCTAAGGGAGCATTTCCTGCCACCACGAGGGAAGGAGTCTGGCATCTAGACTTCTGCGAGAGCTGATTTAAGTGGAGGCTGAAAGGGCACCGTCTTGATCAGCAGCAACAGTACCACCCAGTGAGGGCCCCGTAAGTGCCCGACTCCCTGCGGCTTCGCCTCACATTCACAAAGGGAAACGAGGGGACACCTCTCCTCACAAGCTCTTTTCATTTATTCCTTTCTCAGTCAGTGAGGGCCCCGTAAGTGCCCGACTCCCTGCAGCTTTGCCTCACATTCACAAAGGGAAACGAGGGGACACCTTCTCTCCTCACAAGCTCTTTTCATTTATTCCTTTCTCAGTTCCACTGACCAACATATTCTGTAGGAAAGACAGGGTTATCAACACTGACCTAAATAATAATTAGAGTTAACACTTACCAAGTACTTACCATGTTCTATGCACTGGGCTCAACACATATATTAACACCTCTCAGAAACAAGTAGTGCATTATTCAGAGGGGGAACCTGAGGCACATTCACTTGCCAAGGCCACGCCATTAGCAAGAGGACTTAGCCCAGTGAGTTACTGTGGTCACAAAATGAATAACAAAGAAAATAACCCCAAAGCACTCACAATCTCTTGCCAGCTGGCCCATAAAGATAGTGATGCGTGACATATAGACTAGTATTTGCCAACTATCACAGCTATAAATAATAAGTGGAATCAACCCAAAAGTAAATAAATCTGAAACACTATGTGGTTGGCTCCAAGTGCAGTCATGATTCATATAGTCTTTCATAAAAAGTTAAACTATAGTTCATATACATTATACTAGTCTCCAGCATACAACATAGATATTCAACATTTACATCCTTAACAAAGTGATCACTTGATTCATGCAGTCTTGAAATTATGTTCCTCAGAAAAATTTTCTTTACCAAAAACACACAAAACCCCAAACCCTAAATTTAAAATATGCCAATTAGTTGTAGGCATTTAAAAGAAATTCATATGTAAAGAATTAATTATCTGCTAATGGCTGTTAATAATCTGTCAACCTTACCATTTGGCCCCAAAGAACCTCCCAAATATCCACACCACCAAGTTGCTGGGCCTGGGCCGCTGTGTGAAGGGGACTGGGTCGCTGTGTGAAGGGAACTGGGTCGCTGTGTGAAGGGGCCGGGGTCGCTGTGTGAAGGGGCCGGGGTCGCTGTGTGAAGGGAACTGGGTCGCTGTGTGAAGGGGCCGGGGTCAATGTGTGAAGGGGACTGGGTCACTGTGTGAAGGGAACTGGGTCGCTGTGTGAAGGGAACCGGGTTGCTGTGTGAAGGGGACTGGGTCACTGTGTGAAGGGAACTGGGTCGCTGTGTGAAGCCGGGGGCTGAGACGGGCAGCAGGTCTGGAGCAGGGCAGCCAGGTGCTCGTTTGCTCTCTGGTGATGTCTGAGTGCCAGCAGCTCTGCTCTCCCCGCCACCTGGTGATTAAGTGCGTGGCTTATATTTTTAATATAAACAAGAATACGAGGAACCCAGAACCAGGTAGTGATCACAAATCTACTAACAGCATCATGTGTCTAAGCACATGGGTATTATTTGGACAATGGAAATCGGAGCAAACTTACCATCACCTGGCTGGGGCGCGAGTCCATCTTCTCTCTCAATTTTCGATATTTCCTCCTTGCTCTCAGCCAACGGTTCCGGTTCTGTCTGTACAAGCACTCGTTTTTCACAGTCAGAATTAGTGCAAACGTTTTTGGAAGTGTTTTTCTGAGAATCATCTTCCTCATTTTTGTTTTTATCCAGGGTATAATGTAGGCTATCTATTTGTAGGATTATAAAAACCAAACAAATAATTTATACATACATTAGGTAAAGTCATTATTTACTCTAAGCCAAGTTTGAAAAAGAAAGTTTAAAAAAGTCACAGCAGTTCTTATAAAAAGAAACAAAGTCAACAATGTTTGCTCATCCTCTGGAAACATGTATTGGAAGACACTAAATGCCAAGTCCTACACTAGGTGCTGGAGGGGAAGCAAGGACAAGACAGATGCGTCCCTCCACCCTGGAGATTCCATTCTAAGTGGCAGAGGTAGATGATAAGCAGGTAAACAAGTGAATAGGGCCCTTTCAGATAAAACAGGGTTCTATCTGAAGGTAAGTAAGGGGATGGTCAGCAGGGCCAAGCTCTAGGAAGAGCCCCATTTGAGCTGAGAGTGTCCCTGAGTCTAGGAAGCCTGGCCCCGGGTCTATATTCTTGGGTTAGATTCTACATGTAGCTAGAAGGTATTAGAGGGTTTTAGGCAAAGGAAGACATTGGCCTAAGTCTTTAAAGGCTCACGCTGGCTGCTGTACAGAGAAGAGCCACAAGGGAGAATAGTAGAGAGGCCACTGAGGTATGAGAGAGAGAAAACCGTGGATTCCAGTGGGTGGTAGCAATAAGATAAAGTGGCCAGAATCAGGATATGTTTTAGAGGCCACACCAGCAGAATCTGATGGATCAAGTGTGGGAAGAGAGAAAGGAATCAAGAATGTTGCCTAGGTTTTTAGCATGATAAAGGGAAGATAGGGGAAGAGAAGATTTGGGTATTGGTGGTGAATCAACAATTACACTTTGGACATGCTAAGCTTGAGGTACCCATTAGACCAAGCATGTCAAACTCTCGGCCCTCGGGCTGCATGCTGCCCACAATGAATATTTTTGCAGCCCAGACAATATAATGGTATGTAAGAAATATTTTAATACAAATTTCACAACTTAATTTTTACAATATCCTGTTATATATAATTGTTAATAACGAACTACAACATTCACTAATGACTGATTACTATAATCGTGTTGCATCCATTTCTCTTACGCACCTTATGCACAGGCACACCATTTCTCTCCACTAATACTAGCAGCAAATAATTTAGCAGCCAATTGCCATGTCATTACTCTTGGACTGACTTGTTTGTTGTGCGCAATAGGAAATATTTTGTTTTTGAAGAACAAGAAAAATAGGTCGATTTGCGTTATGCTTATTAATTTGTGCAGTTATTCAGTGTCTGGTAAGTTAATGTTCAAGAAAAAATATGAATTTTTATTAAAATGTTCTATTATTTTATGTTAACAATTACTCATTTATTTCAGCCCTTTGCATTCATATGTATCTACTGAAATAAACCTATGTTTCTATGAAAATTGAAGCTTTGTTTTTTTGCGGCCCGCATAAACTTAAACCTTGTTTATCTGGCCCATGTTAGTCTTTGAGTTTGACAAGCTTGCATTAGATGTCCAGGTGGAGATAGATGTTACAGACCACTGGACACATCCAATCTGAATCCAGTGAGAGAGAAATCTGGGCGTATAACTGTAAAATGTCAAGTGTAAACTATCAATTTTAAGAACAAAGCACAAGAGAAGTGTTACACATCTAATCTAATAATAGAGGAATATGCAAATTTGTCTGTTACAGCATCATGACTGGATCAGCAGGCTGCATCCCCGCCCCCTGCTCAGGCAGCTTCAAGGCCTGGGATAGGATAGGATAGGATAGGAGGGGATAAGAAAGGAGAGGGAGAGGAAGGCAGTCCTGCATGCACACAGGCGGAGAGGAGAAACAGAAATACAGAAAGGGAACAAGAAAGAGATGCAGGAATGAAAAAGGGAAGGAAACTGCATGTGGAAGGGGGTGACGACCGCTGGGGAGTGAGGGAGGAGGAGGAGGAGCAGGTGCACCTGGCAAGGGGCGGGGCGCAGACGGTGTGGAGCAGGGAGCCCCACCCAGATGCAGGAGGAGGGCGGTGGCGGCCATTGGCAGGGAGGCGCCCATGGGTCTGGGACAGAGTGGAGGACGGTCCGAGGCCTTCTGGGTGGAGGCGCTCCTACTTCGTGGCAGCAGTGCCCAGGCCTTGGCCACCTTTGCTGGGCCCGGCATCCCAGGCAGGGAATGGGAGCAGGACAGCAGCAGGGAGGCCGGGGAAGGGGGGCGGGCAGCGAACACCTGGTTGGGGCTGAGCCCTGGGCTGGGGGTTAACAGCCCCCCCTCCCCCCAAAGGAAGCTTTAAGAAGGGAAGGAGGGAGGGAAGAACTTTATAAAGGAGTCAGTAGAGAGCAGAGCTAAAGAAGGAAAGAGGATGTGTGAGTGAACTGTAGGAGCTATAATGAAAATCAAGTATAGTTGTGTATTGGGGACAGATTTTAAAAGTAGGAGTCAGAAAAGAAAAAAGATAAATGATAGTGAATAATT